TGAACAGTAACTGCCATTGTTCACATGCTCTTGTTTATAGGGCAATGGAGAATTTCCAAGGCCAAATTTTTCAGCAAGCAGTGCATCCATGAGGGTGGCAGGAACTTCACCCTCCTTGCTGCTGAGCCCTGGCACCAGTCATATCCTGAGACCCTGTGCCTGGAGACCAGACTCGACTCCAGCAGGACCAGACAGGCTGACCAGCCTTCTCTCATGTGAAGCGGTATTCTCCTGTGCCTGGAATCACACATCCAGCCAGACCCAAGGGGTGCAAACTTGCCACAGGGCTCACAGGCTCCACTGAACTCTTTCCAAAAGGAAAATTCCTGAAGTGCCATTTCCTTTCTGGAAACTGTGACACAGAGTCGGCCTGTCCCAGTGGAGACCTGCACGCTACTGTGATTCCACAGGGCCCCATCTGGGGCTTCAAATTCTCTTTATGTGGGAAAAGGGTAAATGGGAAACTCTCCAGCTGAACCCACTTTGGGAGTGACGGGAAAATTCATTTCTAATTCCAAGCTCCACCCCAGGCTCTTCAGCTTCCCCTCAGAACTGCCCTGTCCTTACACTTTGATGAAGAGGCAGGTCCTGTAACTGAGCCTTCTGAGGAATAGGCAGTGCACTATACAAGTAGCTGCTCTATTTCTCAAAGTCAGAAGCTCCTCAAACTGGACAGGACCACAACCACCTCCTATCTAACAGAGGAGAAAACTGAACCCCATATGCATTCCTTTCCTCAGGCTCCTATAAGCACAGACTGTGAAGCCTGAACAACAAAGGTACACATTTCAAGGCTCTGGAGGGCAGAAGGGTCCAAGAGCCCATGCTCTCAGGTGTGGTTTCTTCCACAGGCACTGCCCTTGGCTTCTCTTTTCTCAGTGCTTGTAAGTCCCCAACACCACCTTTCTGTGCCCACACTTTCTGTGTGTGTAAGGACGCCAGTCCTATTAGACAAAGGCCCATCCCAGTGACTTCATTTCTACTGAACTATGTTTTGTAAGGTCCCGTCTCCAAAGACAACCACATTCTGAGGTAGTCAGGGTCAGGACTTACAAATTTGGGGAACCACAACTAAACCCATAACACAGGAAACCCGTGGGTTCCCCCTGACCTTCTGGCAAGCAGCAACCTCTCAAGAGCCAGCCCCAGAAGGGCCTTCTCTGGCTGTCAGTCCAATGTTGCACCCCGCAGACCTTTGTCCCAGAACTCTGTCTCATTTCCTTCACAACACTCATCAACTGCATGCTGAGAACAGCCACATGTAAGAAAATCTGAACTCCTGGTCCTAGCTAACAACATCATAATAGAAAGTAGTCCCTGCTGCCCATCTCTTACCTCATCCATTACCCCAGCCTCCTTTCTGTTCCTTGGAGAAGATGCCAGCATCAACCCCACCTGAAGACATTGGCAGCCACCTTCCCTTGGATGGCTTCTTGTCATTTAAGTTAATCTTAAGTACCGCCTCTTCAGAAAGGCTTTTGTGACCAGCCAAGCTGGAGCCATCACCAAGTCATACTAATGGTGCCCACATACCTGAATGTTCTGCTGAGCACCCTGACATAATCTTTGCTTCTAATCAAGATTCCCTGGGGCCCCTCCCCCAAGGAGGGGAAGTGACAAGAAGAGCTAACTGTTCCTGTCTTGTTCACCACCATATCCTCCATGTTCACACTGTGCTTGGTCCATTGTGAGCACTCAGAAATTTTATAAAATAGATAAATCAGTGAGTGAATGGATGACTGAATGATGAGCCAGACCAGAATTTCTCAACTTCCACACTACTGACAGTCAGGCTGATTCTATGAACTGTGTGTTTGTGTCCTCCACGATTCATATGCGGTAGCCCTGTCCACCGCTGGGATGGTATTTGGAGTTGGGGCATTTGTGAGGCAATTTGGGATAGATGAGGTCATGAAAGTGGAACCCCAGGAAGACATTAGCATCCTGACAAGGAGGTGCAGAGACCAATGCTCTGCATCCTTCTGCCATCGATGATACAGGGGAAGGGCCATCTACAAGCCTTTACCAGACCCCACATAAGCTGGCTTCCGCCCTTCCATGTCCCTAGAAAGCCACCTAGTCTGTGGCCTTCTACTGTAGCAGCCCAAATCACAGAGGGCCACTCACCGTGCCGTGAGCACCCGGATGGCAGGAACAGCATCAGAAACAGATACCCAGTACCTGCCCATGATAGACAGATGCTCAGTCAGTGTTCACTGGAGAAAGATTAAAGTTCTACAAGTTGCTAAAAGGCAGATCAGCTATTCCAGACCCACTTTTTCAATAGGATTTGGCCTCCTAACTTGTACATCATCCTAACTCCTACATCATGTAACACATTTAAATCTGCTTCCTCGTCTGTTATAGAGAAATGCCCAAAACTCCAACATAGTGATCCTGCTTTCTAAACCATAAGATACGATATAAATGTGGATTAATTATTCATGGACTCTCAGAATGTGTATTCCTACTACCTCACACTAACTCTCACCTCAAATGATTTCAAAAGTGCATATTCCACCTAATTATCACAGGCCTGCAGCATTTCCCCAGTCCTTCCTCTCTCCAGAAAGGGAGGGTGCTTCCTGGATTTTATAAATGGACGTCCCTGCCTCTCATCCTTTTCTCTTTTATTTCAGACTCACAAGTGGGCTCTTCATCTCACAGTGCTTAGGAAAATGTCTGACCTCAGCAGCTTTGTCAAAGGGAGACCTGGGTTGTATGCGACTCCCCTTCACAATATTCAGAAAGAGTATTTTCTACCTTATAAATTAACCTTTCTTCATGGTTCCCTGATGTTCCAACCTTTCCTTGGAAGCTCCAGACAGATTTAGACTCTGTCCTTCACACAGTAGCACCCACTTGTTTTTATCTCTGCCATGGCTCCTTTCTTGCTCCACCTCATGTGGCAGCACAGGACGGATCTTCATTCTGTCTTGGGCAGGCATGGGGTCCAGGAACGCTGGGCAACAGACTACCACACACTCACTCTCTCTGTCACCATGTCCCAGAAGGAAAAATGAAGTAAGCACTATCAGAAACATGATCCTCCAGGAACAGGAAAGTACATGAAATCTGCTTTTTAAATTAGGAAAGACAAGTCATATTTCTGAGTTTTAAAACAGCAGACTCCACAGAAGGGTTTTTTTGTTGTTTGGATTTTTTTTGTTTTTTTTTTTCCCACTGAAGTAAACTACAAGCACGCACAAAGACAAAATGTGAGCGCCACCTCATGGAGAAATGAACCACTGGCGCCCTTGCACTCCCACCACAGGCTCCCCGGCACACAGGGAGGTGTGGCCCTGTGGCTGCAGGCACAGTCAGTAAAAACGCCTGTCTCTGCAGTGGCTTCAACCCCACCCGTCAGCCCAGGTCATGGCAGCATCAGACAAGGTCCGAGATGGATGTGTGTGGAGTAGTGGGTAGGTACGGATGGAACTCAGGGCCTCTGCACTGAGCTGTATCCCCAGCCATTTTTATTTTGAAACAAGATCTTGCTAAATTGTGCAAGTTAGGCTTGAACATGTATTCCAGGAGAGTGCTGAAATTACAGGCATGCACCACCACACCAAGTCTGCGATGGGTCTTGCATGGGTCTTGGTCCCTTCATGCTAGGATGACCTTGAACTGACCACATGGCTTCTAACTATAGAAGCTGTAAGCCGAGCCCCTGTCAGATGTTCTGGTCATTCCCTAGGACCAGCTCCTGTCTCCATTTCCCGCTAGAACTGGACCCTTCTTTAAGCCTGAGCTTTCTTCATGAAAGCACACCCCAGTAGCTGAGGCTGCCCTCTCTGCTGTTCAGAGTCTGCTGCAAAGAAGATGATAGTTTCTCACAGCTCAAAGCAACTGCCCATCCTGGCCCCTTCCACTGAAAGGGAGCTTACTTCCACAGTGACCTTCCTGTTGGGACACACACTGCCCAAGCACACAAGAACTTGCCATAACTTTGGGACACAGCAGGCTGGATCTCCAGACTGCTGCATGGGACAAGTGTTCCCCTCAGTCAGGTTTCCCAGCATCCATTCTCTCTGGCTATCTATTACTGAGGCCATGCTATTACAATCTCAACATCGTTCCCCTCTAACTCATTTGAGTGACCGTCACATATCTGTTCAAGCCAGAGACCCAACGTGCCTCACAGATAGCCTCCAGCCAGTTCAGGATAATGGACTGGATGTCCTGTGCTTACCTATGAAGAGGATGCTGGAGTAATGACCACAGCCTCCCACAGGCACCACAGTCAGGAAGGTAAGTAAGTGAGTGGTGTGTGTTGGGTGTGAGATGGCCCAGGTCGCAGCCAATTGTCCTGCACGGTTGCTGTGATGGTAAGTCTTATGCGTCCTTTACCTGGGTCATGGCATGCAGGCATTTGGTCAAACATTATTCTAACGTTGCGATGAGGGAGTCTGTTGGATGAGCTGAACACTTAAATGAGTGGCCCTTGAATAAAGCCCATTTCCACCAGTATTGCAGAGGGGGCCTTGTCCAACATTTGAACAGAGTCTAGTCACCAAACAAAAAGGCAGTCTGCCAGCAGGCTGCCCTGACTTAGACTGCACCTCCTCCCTGTGTCTCTCACCTGCCAGCCAGCCCTGCAGACTTTGACTTGGGCCTTCACAATTGTATGAGCCGCAACTGTACAACCCAGTCAGTGTCAGTGCCTGCCTCTGCAGTGAGCCTCAACCCCATGGCCCTCCGCCATGCGGCCATAGCAGCCCAACCTCCAGCATCTCAAATCCAGCCCTCCAGGGTTTCCACTTACAGGGCCTTCTAACTTCCACCACATTTGCCACCTCCACTACTGCCCCCTCCAGGCTTTGGCTCTCCTCAAAATCCAGTGGTTCCCTGGCCACCTGTTGTTCATCTCCCAGGCCAGCCACAACATATGATGAGTCCCCTTTCACAAGCATCAAGGTATATGGGCCCACAGAACTTTTACCAGGTTAAAGACATTCCGAGACCAGAAAGGCACCATAGTGACATTTGGGGTAGTCAAGACCAACCGCCATGGGATCGATCATTTAATAGGGGTGAAGGGGATCACCAGAGATGTTACAGTGATTCATACCACATGAACAGAAAGAACATGAAATGGAATGGGAGCAGGAATCCAAAAGGCACAGACACAGAGACAGACACCAAGACAAAGACAGAGACAGAAAAAGTCACGAAGAAGGGTACAAAGTTACACAGGCACAGCTGTCACATGGCGATAGAAGAGCAGATGAGAAAGTGCGCAGAGAGATAATAGAAAGGTGGAAAAGAAACCAGACAGGCCCCAAAGTGAAGTCCAAGAAAAGGATGAAGAACAAGCAAAAAGTAAATAAAAAGGGGGTGGGGGGGAGGAGAGGAACCATACTGACAGTGATAAAACCAAAAGGTAAAATTTGCAGGCTGCTTCAGTTTAAATACAGTTGCTAACTGCTGGACCCTTCTCCTTGCTGGCCAAATTCGTCCCAGATTCCAGTTTCTTGGTTTCTTGCTGTTGGTGATGTGCGGGACGCTCGGCCGTATCTGTTGGTACACAGTGCCCTGCACCAGTGCTCATCATCCTTCATACTGACCTAGAGAGAGGAATTTAATATATTTAAAAGCTTAACATCCCTGAATATTCAAAGGTTTGCTTTATAAATATACAATAAGGGCTTAGAAACCAAAAAAGATTGCGGAATCTCTGCCTGTCCGACTCAGGGGTGTCAGCTCTAGTGTCCTGTTCTTGCCTTCCTCTGCCCAGAAGCTCTCCCCTACTGTTTACAACACTGATTCAACAAAGAAAACTGGAAAAAAGAAAAGAAAATTGACAGCATAATATTTATACGGGGCTGGGGATTTAGCTCAGCGGAAAGCGCCTGCCTGGCAAGCACAAGGTCGTGAGTTCAGTTCCCGGTACCGGAGAAAAACCAAAAAAAAAAAAAAAAAAATTTATATGGACCAGGCACATAATCACCACAACAATCCTGTGCAGTGCCTGCAAGTATCCTCCTCAGTTTACAGATGAGGAGCGGTCTGGGAGAGGCCAGGAGCTGGCCAAGGCCATACAACAGGCAGAGTGTGGGAGATCAGAATGCACACTACCAAGCTGGTTAGTGGCAGCACTCTCAAAAATAGCCATTGTTCAGTAATTCAGCCTGGTTTGTTCATCTCCAAAAAAGATCACAACAGCAGCCTTACGTTGCGTGCTGGGGCTGTCAGGGTTCACTGCGTAACATAGGCAGCAAAGATGGAGAACTCGTTGGGTTTCTCCAGTAGAATAATAACTTTATCACCCCAGCATAACCCGAGCAGCCCCTCACAGCTGCAGGCAAAGCAGTAAATCAAAAGCAGAAATCCAATCCCAACACGCCCCTGCGTGAGTCCCTCTGTGGTTTACGGACTGCCTGCCTCCTGTCAGTGTGTTCCCTGCGAGGTGGAGTGGGCTGTCTTTGAATGTGATCAAGTGGCCAGACTGGAGGCGAAAGGAGAGGATGCAGCAGGAAAGGCCAGCTGGGCCAGGCTAACCGGGTGCTTCAGGGCTGTGAGTGAGGTGGCGGCCACATTCCCACACCATCCTTCCCACTTCCATCTTTACATGATGGGTTATAAGGGACTTGCTGAAGCACAAATTGCAAGCTGCGGAAACCACATATCTAATCAAGACCAAAAAAAAAGAAGAAGAAAAAATGCCTGAGAGTTCGTTCCCTTTATCTGTGTTTCTTTCTAGTTGTCCTAAAATCGAAGATTAATTTCATAAATCTGATTAAAATGTTGAGATGACATGGCTGCAGGACCTCATGGTGTGGAAAAGATAATGAGGCAGATGTGGTAAGTAACAAATGCCCCTTTGGAGTAGCTCCCTGCCCCCCAGGAAGATGTCTTGGAATCTAAATATGGGTGCTGGAAGGGCCCCAAAGTTCTTTAAATTAGGACCCCAAGTGCCTTATGTTAGGTATCTTATCTAGAACAATGAGCAAAATAAAGTCTCCTGACATGAGGATTGTTTTCCTTCTGCGTGCATTAGTGGTCTTCCAACTGGATAGGTGCACGAAGACCTTCCTAGGCAGATGTGGGCACAAAGAAAATAAGTTTAGAGGGGACAGGCTCTAGATCTACAAGCATCAAATGCACACTGTCTTATAAAATTGATCTGTGTGAGAAAACACCTTCAGGCAGCAAGATAATTCCCTTTCCCCACTGCCTTCTCTATTCTTCACTCATTCTGGGGAAAAAAAAAAAAAAAAAGGCATATTCCACAGCAAACAAAGGACTAATTCAAATGCTGGTATCTCCAGACTCCATGAGTGAGGAAGCAACCCCCAGCTCTACTCACCACTCAGGAAAGCATCTCTAAGAATATTTTACTTCCATGACCAATAATTACTTAGTAAAATATACAGTCTACACACATTATTTGATCAATTGAGAGCTAATAATTGTAATGATAACTCAATCAAAAGGTATCTGTTTTGAAACTCAGAACCTTGGAATCATAGGAAAAGAATTTTGGGTTCAAGTTTTAAGCATTTTTTCTTTTGCAGAAACATTTTATAGGTTGATCAATAAAAGACTGCTAAACATAAAAGCACTGCAACAAGAGAAAACCCTCTAATGGGAATAGAATGGGTACAGGACATCTAATATGAAAAGATGCGGTGTAGAATTTCCTATTAAGAGTCTATTCATGTGGCTATAATTAGATGATAGTAGATGTCAAATGACTATGACATCTATTGCCCCTTGATTCATTTTGAAAGTGATGTACTGCTTTATATTAAAATGTTTAATATTTATGATATGTTAGAAGTTCTATCATTTAAAGCTATTTAAATTTATGAAGAAAAATTTATGTCAATTTAAGAAATACATAAGGAATGTCCAAATATCAAAGTATTTTTAGGGCATAAAGGAAAAAATTTTCAAAGACCGCTGTGTCTTACTTTCTTTTCAGATGAGCAATAGAATCTGTGGTAAAGAAGAGTAAGCTCTGGGCTTGCCACCCTTTCCTGCTGCTGACCACTTCAGTCTGAGGAGCACATCGGTAAGCAGACAGGCCAAATGCTCGGCAAACACATTTTTTCTCCCTGGCAACACTGTGAACAGACTTTCCTACACTGCATCTGGAGGAGGCCATGTGACTGGTTATAGCCAGTGGAAGGTGAGGAAGGTGATGTGCCCTTCCAGGCCAAAATGATGATAATCAATATACTTTCCGATACCTCTCTCTTCTAATCTGTCAGTTAACGACACAGCTCTGTGTTCAGCATGTCAGATCTGCGAGATGGATGGATTCCTGAGCCCCTGCTTAGCGTAGCCGCCCAGAAAACCCATCTAGTCCACCTAAGTAAGAAGAATGATAGTAAACTGTGTAATCAAAAAGAACAGTACTCACATGCATGCACAGGTGCGTATATATGTGTGCGTGTGTGCAAAACCTCCAATTATCTGGATCTACACACCTTCTAATACCCCTAAGAATTGATTCAGAAGTATCTTCTTTACAGATTTAAAGGTTTTCTCTTACTCTGTGCAAGTGGGTCCATTTAAACCACCACCTCCATTTTGATCATTCTGAATTTCACATGTTCATCACAACTAAGGCTGTATCTTTAATAAATGGTACTGGAAAAAACTGGCTTTCCACATGCCAAACACTGTACAACCAAACTGCACAGGAAATACTTCAAACAATCATCAACTGTGTTTTTGTACATCAAAAGAAATCACAACAGAGTAAAAAGAAAACCCACGAATTGGGAAAAAATTTTAGCCAACTGCCCCTCAGACAAAAGACTCCTATCTAGAACATATAAAGAATTTTTAAAAATCAGGTCCCCAAAATTCAATGACCCAATCCAAAAATGGGCATCTGAGATGAATACACACTTCTCAGATGATAAATACTACTGGCAAATAAATATATAAAAAGTTGTTCAACATCATTAGTCATTCGAGAAATGCAAATTAAAAGAACACTGAGGTTCCATCTCAGCCCAGAAAGAATGGCTATCATCAAGAAATCAACCAATGACAAATGCTGGAGAGACTGTGGGGCAAAAGGAACACTTCTCCACTGCTGGTGGGAGTATAGACTGGTGAAACCACTTTGGAAATCAGTTTGGAGATTCCTCACAAAACTAGAATTAGAAGTCCCACTTAAGCCAGCTACCATTTTCCCAGAAGAATTAAAAACATACCACAGCAATACATGTTCACCCATGTTTATAGCAATACAATCTGTCATAGCTAAATCTTGGAAACAACCCAAATGCCCATCCACTGAGGAATGGATAAAAAAGATGTGGTATTTTTATACAATGAAGTATTACACAGCTATTAAAAAAAGATAAACTCAAGATTTTTATAGGTAAATGGATGCAACTAGAGACAATACTCATAAGTGAAAGAAATCAGACCCACAAGTATAAACATCATATTGTCTCCCTAGTGTAAGAACCTGAAAGAGTAAATAAAATGCAAAACATACAATAGATAATATGAAAGGGAAAGAAATTGCTCAAAGGAAGGAACAACTGGGATGAGGGAAAGGAGAAAAAGAAAGAAGGAAGGCTATAGATAGATAGATAGACAGATGATAGATAGATAGGATAACTACTGCTGATGTTTGATAGTATATTGAAAGGAACAGCTAATGCTTATGTTTTATGTTCTGACCGATTTTGCACGCTTATATCTGGTAATCTGAGCAACTAATTTGAAGACAACAATATGCAATAGAACAACCACTGGTGAATTCCTACCATCTTGTCTAGTGAAACTCTATATCATCTCTAATTTTTTAATATTTTTTTTTATTCTTAATGGTTTGAACAATCTTCCACTCTTACATCTGGTAATCTGAACAACTTCATTGAAGATAATGATATATAATAAAACAACCACTATTAATTCAACCAAATGGATTCATTTTAAGCCAACATTCATTTGAATTCATGACTAAAACCTAAGGTCAGTCTCTTAGAAGGTACAAATAAAATGAAGGCAAATGTATTCATCCTTAAATCATAGGAAATCTAATATAGGTATTCATCTACTTAATATTAATTTATTATAGAAAATCTGCAGAGGTTATACATCACAGGAATGACTGCAATAGACTCCTTACTTACCAAATAAAGTTCAAGTACCTTAGCATTGTGTGATAGTTGAACTTATGTGTCCACTTGATTGAGCTATGGAATGTCCACATATCTTGTCAGACATTAGTTCTGGGTGTATCTGTGAGAGTGTTTCTGGAAGCAATTAGCAACTGAATTGGTGGAATGAGGGAAGCAGATGGGCCTTCTCAATATGAGTGGACATCATCCAGTCCTTTGAGAGCCCAAATAGAGAAAAGCAAAAGAAAGCTGAACTCGCACTAAGCCTGAGTACAGGAAAGGAGACATCTTTCTTCTCTGGTCCTTGCTGCTCCTGGTTCTCAGGCCTTCACAAGAGTTTGGAATCTATACCACTTGAACCATATCATCACCAGTCTCAGATCTGCAGTTTGCAAACAGTAGATTAAGGGATGTGTTAGTCGCTTTTTCATCGCCAAAGCACAATACTGAGCACCCACAACCTAAAGAAGGAG